TGTGTGTGTGTGTGTGTGTGTGTGTGTGTGTGTGTGTATACATACATACTAGGGAGGAGTGATATCACTCAAAGGTGAAAGGGTCCTGGGTGCTGAAAAAGAAATGTCCATCCATGTGGTCTTCCAGGGCATCCTTGTCACTCTCAGCAGGAAAGCGCTCCTTACAGATAGTACATTCCTTCCATGGAGGGGTGGCAGAGACCCCAGTGCTGGCCTCTGACAGGGAACTGACTGCAAAGCCACTAAAGAGAGAGCAGGAAAATTTGAGAGGGTCAGGGTGCTCTGGTGCCTTTATTTTTATCTTTGATATAGGGCCTCAAACTTGTCATGTAGCAGAGGGTGACTCCTGAATTCCTGATTCTCCTCCCTTTCCTTCCCAAGGGCTCATATTTCAGGCAGGCACCACAATGCCCAACTTCTGTTGCCTTCTTGATCTGGGGAATCTCAGGGAACAAGATCCATGATGTCCCTAAAGTGCCATCCTGGTCACCCCTGTTTAAGCCTCTCCTATGACATTTTTCTGCTCACGATACTAGATGCCTTAGTTCTTCAGATGCCCATGTCCTCTCTTCATGAGTCCCCGATGGTGTCTATAGCACATAACCCATCCCCACTTTCCACCCTCCATCTCTGTCTGCTGGCTAATGAGGCTGAAAATGAGGCTGACACTGTTCTTCATCTTCCTGCTCCATCCTGGTTCCAGTGGAGGGAGAGATGACAGCATCGGCCCTTTCTGTCCTGAGCCCCACTCACTCCAGGCAGAGCCATGGTCAGGTGACAATGCTCTTTTCCCTAAGGATCTGCTACCTGACTAGGACTAGAAAGCTGGGCAGAAGGCACCACCTGATACCTGACCCCCACCCCCAACTGCCCCCACTAGGTTTCCCTCCCAGAGTCTCCCAGGAAGTCAGAGATGAGGAACAACTCAGGCACAGCCATACAGGTGCTGGATGGTGGTTTTTTCCATCTCCATCTCTGAGGCCTTGTACACCTTCCTCCCTGAAGACCTAGGTACCTACCTGGTGGTTGGGGAGGGGGTAGGGGCAGGAGAGAGGGGAAGCAGGGCAATTTGGGCTCCACGGAAGATGACGCTAGAACAACATAGAAGCCAGTCAAAGGCAGGGAGAGTGAGAGAACATGAAGCCACCTGGGATTTGTGGAGGTAGCTGACATCGCTGTCAACCACACTGTGACCTTCTCTTCTTGGTTGAGCCAAGAAGAGGGGTTTGGGGGCAGGGCCTGGTGGCTGTGCACACACTGACCTCCTTCCCTCTCTGTGCTGTGCTCACCTGGCCATGTCGTAGAAGGCACTGCCAAGTTCAGGGAGCAGAAGATTGGCCTCCTCACCCCCACTCTGCACAGCTGCCATCAGGACTGACTTCTCATCTTCAGCCTCCTGGCACCAAGAGAGACAGGGCTAGATGTGGGTGGTGTTCTGAGGTGGGGAAGCAGCACTTGGGGCAGATAAGGGCAGAGAAGCCGAGGTTGATGCCGGACAGAGGGTTGGTAAGAAGAGTGAGTCAGGAATAGGGTTTTGCCAGGGCTGGTGGGGGAGGGGAAGGGGACCTGGAAGCATTGAGATTCTTGAGCTGGCCTAGGTTTGGGATCATTCTGTTAGTAGTCTTGAAGGAGGCCAGATGTGCCTCCTGCAGCCCAGAGTAAAAATGCTTTCTGCCTGGCTCATGTGTGACCCTACTGCCTGCTTACAGCTGTGCATGTGGGCTCTCACTACTCACTGAGTCAGAGCTGCTGTCCTCCCCTGGCCCGGAGAGGTGGGAAGCAATGGGTGCTGGTTGGTTGATGACAACAAGGGAAGATGCCTCCCGGAGCCCAGGAGGAGAAGAGCCTGTGTTTCCATGCTCACACAAGCCATAGGATGGGAGCCTCATGTCCTCTGGGGACTCATCTTCAGAGTCCGTCAGAGCTGCAGGGCAGCCTATGGGAGGGCATTCAGATAGAGAAGAAAGGTCAGCCATAGGAATCTAAGGAGGGAGACGGTTCAACTGCAGAGGGCCCCAGGAATGGGAAGGGAAGGCTAGGCTGCTTCAATAGCTTTCCTCAAAGAGGGGGAAGGGAAAGAGGTGTCACAAGATTGGGGACAGACTCAGTCCTGCAGTGGCCTCCTCATCCTCTGTGGCAGCATCTTCATTCCACTTCTCATCTGCTACCTTCTCTAATCGGGCCTCCAGCTTCCTCATGTACTCCAGCAATTCCTGGAGTTGGGGAAGAAAAAGGCAGGTGTCAAAGCCTGTAAGAGGACAACCCTGCTGGCCTCCTGGGCTTTCCTTGCTCCCAGACATCATTGTAGATGCTTTCGCCATGGGGTGGAGTCACACATGGCAGATCCCTTTAATTGAGAGCTCTCCTCTACCCTGCACCTTGATCCCTTCTGGTGTTCCTCCCCTGTACAAAGTTAGTTCCTAAGAGGAGTCAGAGCCATTTTTCAGCTTTTGCATTCTCAAAGAGATTCCAGTTTCTGAGCCAAGGGATTACCAAGATGGTACAGAAGTTTGAGTCTCCAAGCCCTTGGCTTTGGCATCCAGGGCCTGAACTACAGGTGAGTCTCACCTGTTTCTCCGCCTGCAGCTGCTCCTTTTCCTTCTGAAGCACACGGAGGGCCGAGCGCAACTCTGTCAGCTCTCGTTTACTCTCTGACAACTGTACCTGAGGGGAAAGGGTCATGGATCCTGCAGCTTGCAGTGTGCCACCAAGAAACTGGCCCAAAAGTAAACTAGGTTCTCTCTTGCTCCACACACAAAGTGCTTCTTCCACAAGGCCCTTGTCTTGGCCCCCGGGGCTCAGGTCAAGTCCTAGACTCTCTCTCTCCAATATGGCCCCAGGTAACTGTCTTAGGCTGGATGAAGAGGCTTTGGTAATACCAGAAGCCACCCCATAACTCCCCTATGTTATACCTCCAGCCCAGATGTGACTCTGTGAGCACCTCACCAGGCTAGAGTCCTTTTCTCGGGCCAGCTCAGTCTTGAATATGTGGCTCTGGCTTCTCTCCTCCTGTACTGTCTTCTCCAGCCGAAGGATCTCTGCACTCAGCTTCAGGATTTTGTCCTTCTCGGCCTAGAGATGGTACAAAGAAAGATGGGAGGGAGGAGGTGAAGTGGCAAGGGATGCCAGGGAAATAGCATTGTACTCACTGGGACCCTTTCTTGTATGTCTGGGGCCTAAACGGTTTCTGAGCAACCCTGTACGCTCCTTGCTCCATTGAGTACCTCTCCTCAAGTCCTCCTAGGATCACGTCCCCTATTCCCTCCTCCCAGAGCACCTCACTACAGGTTAGAGTCTCTGAGGTAGGGGGAAGGGTCACCCTCTACCTCCATATTCTGCAGCAGCCCTGTACGCTCCTTGCTCCATTGGCACTTTTCCTCCTTCATGTGCAGGCTGAGCTCAGCCAGTCGGCCACTGACTTCAGCCACTTCCAGCCTGCTGCGGTGTAGCTCGGCTATGGTGCGGTCCCTGGCTCCTGCTGCACTGGCCAATTCCTCCCCAAGAAGGGCAGCTTTCTGTTGGCTTGAGGCTGCAAGTTCCTGGACTCCTCGAAGCTGCTCTTTCAGGGGCTCCAGCTCAGCCTCCGGAGAAAAAGGACAGAAATCAGATCCCTTAGGCAACTACTTGTGAATTAGGGGGCCCACTCATCAGGACCCAGGACTGTGTTGTTTACTTTAGCCATCTTTGTCTCTTTCTCTAGACTACTTTGGTACTCTCACTGCTCTCTATCATCTACATGACTTCACTCACCACTTTCTGCTGTGCCTGGGCCAGGGCATCCTTCATGTGTGCCACCTTGTCCTTCAGTTGCTGAACCTGAGCACCTTGCTCTTCTTGCTGGCCCTTGACCTCCTGCAGCTCTATAGTTAAGCGACGGTTCTCCTCTTGGATCATCTGGAGCTCAACCTGACGAAAGTGGAAAGAAGGTAGGGAGCAGGGGATGAGTGCTGGTGTACCAGGGGCAGGTTGCCTTCCTGGCCCTGGGATGAGAGAAGGCAAGGTCTGTTTCTGAGATTCAATACAAGCGGAAGCATTCAGCTCTTGCCAGCTCTTCTTGGGTCCTCAGCTCAAAGGCTCTCAATCTTGAACCTCTAGTATCCAGGTCCCAAATGAAGTGTCCAGAGCATCACAGCTTGGGGTCTTACATGGAGACATCCCACAACCCACTTTGATTTCCTACTTTTCCTTTGAATCACAACAGTCTGAATGGCCTCTAAAGCTAGGAATATTGCACCTCTCACCACAGACCTTTTCCTTTTCCTCCTCTCCCTTCCTGGAGTCTCTGTCTCTAGTCCCTCTCCCTGCACTATGGTCATACTATGTAGCTGGTCCAAATTGGCCTTGAATGCACAATCCTCTGCCTGCTTATGTTAACTGCATGCTGAGATTACAGATGCATGCTACTATGCCTAGCCTTTCCTGGGACCTCTGTCACTTCTGTCTGCTGTACTGAGCAATTCTCAATTCATCTAATTGGACACTTGAGTGCTATGCTTGGATCTCTTCTCTCCCTAGCAGTTCACAGAAGAAAGCAACAGCTTTTCCACTCTCCATCATAGCCACAGCCATCTTCTACTGTCTATTATGCCTTTACCACATTAGCTCAGGCGTGGCTGTTCCCATGGGATGACTGGATAGTGCTGTAACTAGTTATTTTCTAGCAGGTGATCAGTGCTTCTCAGTACAACTCTTTAGGCATTTTTCACCACTTAAAGAAAAAAAAGGCTCAACTCCAGATCCTCCACAATATGATGTACACCTTACTTCAAACTCTGCACACACTGTTTGCATCTTTCTTTTGTTCTACTTAATTCAATCCACTTCTTCGCTTGTATTGTTCTATATTATTAAGACAAGGTCTTCCTATAGCCCAGGCTGCCTCAAGCTTGTGGCAATCCTCCTGCCTCAGCCTCTCTAGTGCTGGAATTACAGTATCATTACACCCTGCTCAAATTCCATTTTTCACTGCTGGAGAGTTTTCTAGAGAATCCCAGGGTTCTGAGAAAACCACTGAAGGTTCTGCAATACTTTATTTGAATTCATTATATTTTTTTTGCCTTGCCCAACACTGAACTATAATCTTGGCTCTAACCTTGTTCTAAATTATTAAAAACTGTTTTTAGAAGCACATGAAAACATAAGGCAATACACTGGAGAGCACCGATCCATTGATGTGTGCTTTTAGGTTAATTTATTTTTATGTAATCCTCAGAATGAAATCTCTTTTGTATTTTCTATCAAATTTAAGAGTAAACTGGGACTATAAGGTTGACATCTTAAAAACTGTTATCATTTACTTCCCACTTGCTGTGACTCAAGGTGTTCAAAGTTTGAATTCCTTCCTTTTTTCTTTCCTACCTAGATAGTCTCAGCCTAGGCTGGCCTTGAGCTCAAAATCCTCCTGCCTCAGCCTACTGAATGCTAGATCACAATGACAAGCATACCATCATGCCTGGCCCTTACGTTTCCCTTTTGATAGCCTTTGCATTCATGTGTGTGTGCATGTATGTGCATGTGTGCACCCATGACCAGAGGCTGACCTTGACATGGTTGTCTTCCTCGATTGTTTCTACTTGCCAAATGGTTAGGCTGGCTGGTCACCAAGTCCCAGGGATCCTCTCCAGCCATCACTATAAGTGGGCACTTGACAGTTGTTTCTAAAGTCTAATGAGCTGTGTTCTCATCTACCTCTCTGGAACCCTGTAAGAGTAGATTAGGTTTTTCTCTGTCGATACTTTGTGGTTTGGGCAGGTACTGTACTGTGGAGTAGTGAGTACACAGGGTCTCCTCTACATTTCCACCTTCATGGGTGCCCAGCATTCAGAAGGGACTCAATGAACACTGGCTGAATAACAGAAAGCAAACTCACTTGGGATCTCTTACCTCATTCTGCTTCTTGTCTGCTTGGACTTCCTTCAGCTGCCCCAGGAGCTTCTCTTGTTCCCGAGTCAGGGCCTTCACTGTGTCTCTAACCCTGTCAACATAGAGGAACGACAGTGCTGGACTGAAATACTAAGACCTCAGACCAATGTTTTTCTAGAGCATAATCATAAACTGCTTTTCTTTCCTTTTTTGTTTGTTTTTTGAGACAGGGTTTCTCCATATAGCCCTGGATGTCCTGAAACTCACTATGTAGACCAGGTTGGCTTCAAACTCAGAGAGATTCACCTGCCTCTGCCTCTGCCTCAGGAGTGCTGGGATTAAAGGTGTGTGCCACCATGCCTGGCTTCTTCTTCTTCTTCTTTTTTCTTTTTAAAGAAGTACATATTTTTATTTATGTGTTTTTGTTTGTATCAGATTCCACTGTAGATGGTTGTGAGCCACCATGTGGTTGCTAGGAATTGAACTCAGG